ACACTTCCTCAGGGCTTTAGATAGATGTGGTAAGGGTTTACATTTATTCATACTGCCAAGTAGTCAGTGTCAAGTTAATTTAATTGTTTGTATTTTAATACTTGGGTAGTTAGTGAAATGCCAATTTAAATTATCAGCAGTATGATGTTACATGCCTTAGCTGCTTATAGATTGTGTTACTGTTTGCTTCTTTGGCAAAAATTATCTGTAGTGATAAAGCTAGTCGATGCTTACTGTCCTGCTGTTTTTAAAGATTACAATTTCTGTTGTAAAATCCCACAAACGGAAGAATTGTGAACTTGGACAAGGAAAGATATTGGTGACTGGAGGCAGAGCAAAGCAGGACTTTTCAGTGATGGTTTTGCTGCTGTAGGAAACAGCTATGAAACGTCACGCTCGGGGCGGGGGGAAAAAGTAACAGAAGTGAATGTAAATGGATATGCACATGAGAATCTTATTGTGTAAATGCGAGCTTAAATACAATGCAAATTAAGTTTTCTTAAGAAGTTGGACTTTTGAATATTTGTTCTTAATTTAGCCTTTTATGTTCTTTTACCTCCAGGTAAGTTTTTGATGGTCAGGTTTTGCTGAAGCATTAAGCTGGGAATGGGGAGTGAAGTAACCCATTACTGATGAAGGGCTGGTGCAGACAGTGATTAGAGAAAAACAAAGAAAAATAACCTCAGTGACACCTTTTCTCTGAAATACTAATTCCTCAGATGAGATAACTAATGCTACTGCACACATAGAAAGACCTGAGTCTTATGTTAATAATTAATCCTAAAATACGAGAAGTCTAGAAATCTTTCACTGAAGACGGTGAAAGGGAAGAAGGTGAGCCCAGGTTTGTCGAGTAAACAGGCTAAGCCTGCGGAAGGGAAGGCTGATCTAGAACGTCCCACTGAGCGTATATGATGTACAAGACATTGGATTGTAGAGGGTGGAAATTGTTCAACTTGCTACGCTTCGTTCTTCCCTGGGGGGAACTGGGAGGTTGGAGAGGGGGACAGGCAGCTTGTTATGTTCCCAGAGTCTGGTTTTTATAACACAGAAACTACTTTTACTGTAGTATTGCTTAATGCTCTGCCAGCAGTGTTGCTGTGAATCATGAGTACTCTTAACACTAGATTAACAGTTCCACCGGACACATTAATTAATCCCTAAACCTGTCCGACAGCTGCAGCGAGGCAGCTGGGGTTTCTATGCTGAAATACGTTCAGCTTGCTGCTGTTTAGCAGTGAGAGTGTAACATCTTTTGATCTTTGTTTTCTTTTCTGATTTGGCAGTCTGAACTTGTCAAACCAGAGTCACAATTTTTTATTTTTAAAACTTACCTTTTAGAAGGCAAACAAGACGTCTTTAAGTGATCTGGCTGTTCTGTGCTGAGCTCACAATTTAGACAAGAACATCTGACATCTAACATATCTAGATGCTGCATCAAAGCCAGAGTTGTTAAACCATTGCTTTCTGATAAATGACAGGGGGATTGTTTTGAACTTACTTGAAAAATTAGTTTTAGAGTTAATTAACAAAATCTTCTACATCTTTTAAATTATCCAGCTGCTTGAATGTTCCTTGCCTTACGTTTTACTGTTGTGGGGGAAAATTAATGGTTTTCACATGTACAGTAAAATACACTTAACCTTACGGCTGTGTCTCAGCCTTTTAAACATACCTCTTAATCTCTTCTGCTTTAATACACCTAAGAAAGGGTGAAAATTTTTATTTCAGTGCAGATTGACTGAAATGTCTTTTTCTTCTTCATTCTTTATTTTTCCCCTTTTCTTTTTTCAAAAATTAATTTTTGAATGAATGTTTTCATGAGTTTTTCACATTGCTCTGAATATTACAAGTAGAAATTGAAGTCTAACCTCATGAAGTTTTCATTTTGAATAGTATACTAAACCAATTTATGATCTGGTTAAGTGATCGTGACTGGAATGTTTGAAAGGAAAGATATGTTTGCAGTCTCCAGCAGTGAGATACCAAACCAAACAGGCGGCTCAGGGACAGAGAAGGTGCTGTTTGGAAAGGTAAATGAAATCTGTGCCGTGTGTGAGATGCAGTGGCTTTACTGGTAGCGTGTTTGGCTACCTTCTGCCAGAAACAGCTCTACTCGGGCACCTGCAAGCATTCCCGTTGATATTACAAGTGCTGGTTCGTGTGGGGGTTAATCTGGAATAGTTAGTTGTGTGGCTTGTTCTTTTCTTCACCCGCTACCTTTTGAATTGTCGTCTTTTGTCTTTCTAGTTTGTTTCTGTTCATCAAACAAGATGATCTGTGTGTTACTCACGTTTATAAAACGTAGCAGCTTCCCCCTGCAAGGCGCAGGGTTGTATTTCCAGTCTGACAGTGCAATGTAATATGATTATGGGATGAGAATGCAAACACTTGTGTTAGGGCTTGTGAGCTTGGCTGATGTTAACCAGATATTTTAAGACTGCTAATTACTCGTGAGCTGAACGATGATGCTTTTTATAATGTTTGAATCTACTCAGTGATGTAGTTCTTTGAAAATCAGATACAAGGGTGTCTTGTAAAACACCCCTGTTAAGAAGTTGAGATTTATTTGTCACATAGAGTATATACGTATTTAGAGAGAAAGTGCTTGATATTAAACTGCGGAAGCTGAAACATTTGAAGAGCTCTTCCATTATCCAAAAGTTTTAACAGAAACATTCTAGTTCTAATTTCTCTTCTGTCATACAAAATGGAAGTCAGGCTTGTTTTCTGAAAGATCCGTCATAACAGAGGGACTTGTGTGCTTAAAAATAAATCCTGAAACTGTTTCTTGCAGTAGAGTTGGTGTAAAAATAAGCAGCTGTGCATCTTGGTCTCTTCCTTGCCCGTCTCCGTGGTAGTGAAGCATTGTAGATTGGTGTGTCCATCTCGGTGTCTGTAACAATGCCGTCCTTTTCTAATACTAGCTATTTTTTTTTATCCTCAGTGGTGAGATTCAAACAGCATGCAGACTTGTATTGTGGCTTTTGCTTTACGATGTGGTAGTTGGAGCGTTCTGCAGTGTGTCAGAAAAAGAAATGACTGGTGTGATTAAGACATATTTCTGGTTTGATTATTTTGTGCATATAGACAAAAAGGTCAGTGTGTTTGGTTTTTTTTTTTAAGATGTAGGAAATAAAAAGAAGAAAAAAAATTCTGTATTGAAAGAGCAGAGTTTCTTCCATGAAGGTATGAACTGTGCTTCAAAAGTAACACGTATCTTCTGCCAGATTTCTGAATTTAAGGAAATCATAAAAGAATATGAATTTAAAACTCTGGATGAACTAGTGAGACTCTAAATATCGTATCTCCTTTTGCTAATGTACAACATGTAGCGCTTAAAAAATTTGACTAATGCGTGCAAGTAGCATGGGAAGAAAAACAGTTATTATAAGAGACCTAGAGAAGGTATTTCTGGTCTCCAAAGAAGAGAAAACATAGTCCACAGTTCAAGGAACTTCAGTAAACAAAGTTTATTGCAAAAATGCACTGATGGAATAGTGAAGCATAGTAAGTGTTAGACGCTTTTCCCAGAAGCCATATGGGTCTTACGTGCAAGGTGATAGAGACCTCTCGTTAGACTTTTCTGGCATGTACTTTTTTTTTCTTAGCACAAAAAAGCATTCTGTAGTGGATTGTCATCATGCATCTGCTGTGTTCTCTTCTTCTTTAACCTGTCCTGATGAGTTGAAATGACTTGCTTTTTAAATACAAGACTTCAGAGAAACTCTGGGTTTTAACAGTATTCACTACGAAAATGTCTTGAGGTGCATTTGGTTAAATTTAATTGCTGCCTCGCTCTTGCTGTGCCTTTAGTTCTGTATGACTTAGGAAAAAATATTTGTGTGTGTGTGCATGTTCTAAACTGTTACTGAGACTGACTTGAGTTAAATTTACAAGTAAGTGGATGAGAGAAATAAATGGCTGTATATTAAGAACTTGCACTGGAAATAAAATATTTGGAATTTGTACATTTATTTGTATGGTAACGACAGCAAGCCCCTTTTATACACAAGGGCTCAGTAGTATGAGACTGGCTTCAGCATTTCTGCTGTTGCTGCGCCAAGTACATGACCTGGTAGTAACTGATGTGAATATACATCAGAGGCCTCTTCCCAGTTCTGTAGCACTTCAAAGGAACACGTTTGGTGAATTGTCTGATCTGACATGTCCACAAAGCAGACGTATTCTCCCAGTGTTCTCACTTGAAGTGATTTACTGAGAATTTGTTTTGTGGGTTGGCTGTGAAATAATCTATTGTGAATTTATTTTAGCAACAGCAATAAAAAGCGTGATCCATTTTTTTTTCTGAAATACTTTTTATCAGACAGTAGGCCAAAGTCTCTTCTTTGCAGTAGTTGACAATATAAAACTTGGATTCTTATCACTGAACAATTATGGAGTAAGCTCTTCCTACCTGGAGCAAGACTTCCTGGTATGAACTATTTCAAGTTGCTGTGAGAGGTTCTGGACAGCAGTATCAAAAGATGATGGTTATCCTCTAAATTTAGAAACAACTTTTAAATTGTTGCAAAACAACAGGACTTCATTACATAAAATTTTAAATCAGGTCCTATTTATGGTAGAAGTACAGCCTGTAAAGAAAAACAAACACGCTGCTCCGGTTGTATTCACTTACTTACAGTCTTGTGAAACAGCTAGCTAATAATTGACAGATTTTTTTTACAGTACTTTAAAAGTACTTTATTTAAAATATTTTTATAATGACAGTAGCAAACAGGCTAGAATTTGACTTTGTTTCTTAGGCACTGGCAGAAGTCGAACCCTAGATGCTGCTCATACTGCTTAAATTCTCTTACATGTAGGTAATGTGAGACCTTTTAACGTGTTCAGGCTTTATGGTCTTTTCTAGCTCTGCTGTAAAACAGTTCTTTTGGTTAGAAATGATTTCTGACATGCAGAACTGGGAAAGAAAGATCTAGAAAATGGAGTCTGAAAGAGGTCATATCATTAATTGAAGTTTGTTTCTAACATTTCAGATTTTTCTTCTTGCCTGTCCTCCATGTCGGATTGCAATGATTCTCTTCAGGTATTGCTTCTTCCTTACCATATTTCTGTCTACTTGCATAGTGTATTTTAGAAGTTAATCACAGCTGAAGTTGTAAAATATGAAGATGTACAGTTGGAAAGGCACATTGGTTGGACTGAAAAATGACACCTTGAAAAGGGTCAGGGCTTAAATCATAGATGTTGAGCCACATACCCTTGGTTCTTTTGTACTGGTGGTTTTGGCCTTGCTTAGCAACACGAATTAGCTCAGTAACAGATGAGAATGCACGCATATTTCTACAGATCAGTGTATGGGCTTGTGTAATTTTTCTCATGGGCCTTATACCTTTTTATTACCCTCACTGAAAATTAGTAAGTGGGCTTCATTGAAGGCCACGTATACAGAATGGGTCCAGATTTAAAATTGTGGATATAAGTTAAAGTGAATTTTTGCTGACGTGGGTATTTCTCAAATCTGTCCAATGTGTTCTGGAATACTGCGTGTTATGAACGTTATGAACCACCAGCGTTTCTAAGTGCAGGGAGCCCTGGGTGCGGTAAGGAGCTAAGGGGTGCAACTGGTCGTGCTGGGGGGAGGCTGCGGGAACCCCTGCCAGGTAGAATGGCCATCAGCAATGGCTGTGGTTGCCACCATGATGGTCATCTCGGCTCTTTCTTGCCTTAGTTGAGGCAGTGGCTGGAGAAACGGTGCTGGGGGCACGCCTCGTGAGTTACTTTGGAACTGCTACTGTATGTCTGCGGCTTTCTCCTGCTGTTCCTGACTTGGGCAAGGAGTGGGCTGAACAGGAGACACTGTGTTAGCATCTCCATCTCGGAGAGCGTGAGAAGTATGTCCGGAGTCCAGGCAATCCTGGATTTGCTATGCATTTGCAAAAGACCGGTTGCAGAGTGGAAATCACAATATTTGTTGTTTTTCACAATGAGCCTTTCTATTTTCCAACACCCTGGCAGCATATAAATTACATTTGAAGAACTATTTTGAAATTGTAATACCTTTTTCCCATCAAGAGACTTTTAAATTCCTAACAGTTTGACGGGCAGTGGTTGTAGAGTTTATTTTTTACTGTGTGTCGTATGTAGACTGAAACAGTACTCATACTATTTTTGTGTTCTTGTGATGCAACAGTGGTTCAGAAAAAGATGACTGAAAGCTATACAAAATACTGTATATTACATAAATAATAAAAATATACATATGTATAATTATAATACTACTTTCCTGCCTTATTCTTTGTTTAGGACTTGCCGTTGCATTTTGAGAAATGTAATTCTTCTTTTATTTTAAAGGACTTCTTCCTGGATAGATTTAGACTGGATGTAAGGAAGAAATTTCTTACCGTGAGGGTGGTGAAACCCTGGCCCAAGTTGCCCAGAGAGGTGGTCACTGCCCCATCCCTGGAAACATTCGAGACCAGGTTGGACGGGGCTCTGAGCAACCTGGTCTGGTTGAAGATGTCCCTGCTCACTGTGGGGCAGTTGGACTAGATGACCTCTAAAGGTTCCTTCCAACCCAAACCATTCTGTGATTCCGAATTCCTGAAGCTTTACTTTGAAGCTGTACATTTACAGAGTTAGACAGGAGTAAAAACCTTTTTCAAATACACTATTTTTAGCTCTGAAAGACAAATGAACAGCAAAATTCAACTATTTAGTAGCTTCCATCATGAACAGGACTAATAAATCAGGCAGTCTAGGCTTTCTAGGAATCCAAAGCTCATTATAGAAAGAAGACCTACTTTAGGAATTATTTAAGCATGTATTTAAAGAGGTTTTTGTCATGGTTATTGCATTTGACAGTGGCTTTACTCAAATTCAAGACAACAGAATTTTCTTGCATCTCTTGCTACCTTTTATTGAAGAGATACTACATAAAATATGTGAAAATACTACATTTTATTTACATCTGTGAAAGTAATATCACATCTCTTTTCTAAGGTTGCAGATGCATATGCTGAATGGGGCCCTCTTGGCATTGCTGTTTCCTGTTGTTAACACACGCCTGGTGAGTGTATTGTACTTTTCCTCCTTTATTATTTATTTCTAGAAGATTTTAGACCTTTGCTGTGTTTGGCCTTTGAAAGTTAACTTTGCCAGGCTGTAGATTCCTGGTACAGGTCACTACAATGGAGCCAAAATACCAGTCTTGGAATTTTTCTTTTTTGGTGTTTATAAATCAGTACGGGAAGTTAACACTGCTGCATTCTACATGTAGAAAAAAACTACTTTGTCAGTTGCATCCCAGCCTTTAAATGGAGGGTAGTTTCATAGCTTGGAAAGAGGCTTTCGTAGGTTAGCGTTGTGGCCGGTGGTCAAAGTGCAGTTCCAGGCTTTCAGCAGATATGTAAACGGAAGATTGCTCAGGCATGGGAAGTGCAAAAGGGCGTGGTGGCTGATGCCCCCTCTCCACTAAGAGTAGGCACAGCAGGTTTCTTTTTTCCATCCAAGTTTTCGAATCTGCTATAAAACTCTTGTCTCCTGGATGAAAAATTAGCCTATTGGTGTCCATAATAAAACTCTTAAACCTATTGAGAGTTAATGGTAAGAAAATTCATCCCGAGTCTGAGCCACGTGAAATATTTCTAAGGATTATTTTTAAGAGCTCTTATGCATGCATGTGTAGGTTGTCTGCGTAGGTGTGTGTGCATATATGCCTATGTGCTTGTTCATTTTTTGTCATTTGACTTATTTGCAAAAATCTGCTCTTGCAGTGATGTAAATGTCTGTTTGAAGATAGAGTTCACTGAAGTTTATCTGCCTACGTATTTATGGTGTCTGGGTAAAGTACTTGTATCTATATCCACGTAGCATGTGAGTTAATGATATTGTTAATAAAATCGTTGTGGACTTCAGACTCCATTACAAATCTCATTAGTGGCTGTCCGTTTGCAAATCTTGACTGCCTTAATCTTATTAAGTATAAGAAGCTGTATCTGTATTGAACTTCATGGATGATAAGCTATGTTTACTGGCCACGCTGGCAGCTAGGAGACCTGGAAACGGACAGTTTTAGTGTTGGCTTGTAGTTGGTTTCTTTTTCCCTCTCTTTAAGACTATGAAATTTTGCCCCGAGACACATTTTAGTACTAGAGAGAGGATAATACATCTGAAGGAAAAGCTATTTTTAACATGTAAACGCGTAAAGCATGACACATGCACGCACAGGAGGTTGGGTCGTATTTTTCAGATTTTGGTGGGTTTAGTAGCATAATAACCGTAGAGTTTTTTCAAGATTTACATTACCCTTCCTAGTCTGGTAACTACACACATTCTTTTCTATCCTGCAACAGCTTATGTGCATTTGGCAATTATGTTTTAATAAAACTTGGTACTGCTGAAGGGGCATCAAATGAATAAAGCAAGTGTTTTTTCCTGATGAGAACTCTTTTTATTTTGTATTTCAAACTATCTAGTTTTTAAGTAAATATAAACTTTAGCATGACAGAATTATTTTTCTGGGTAACCTTTTAAGGATAAAATGTTGTAATATTTAAGAAATCATTAGCTTCTGTTTTCTCTTCCATTATCATAGATTTCATTTATATTAAGGCAGTGGTGATTAAACAGGAAAAATACAGACTACTTTTATAAAATTGTCTCCTTAATTAGGGGTAGAAGAGCCAAAGGATAGTGTCCAAGAGCAAATATTTTTGGAATAAATACAGCTTAGGATATTTTTGTCCGAGCAGCTGCTTGCTAGGCTGTTCTCTTTTCAGTGTTTCTTCTGGCACAAGACAATGTGGGTGATGTTTTGCAGCACTGCTGCTTTGACCCAGATTCTCTCATATAGACACACACTCTCCTCTGCAGCTGCCATTGTAGTTGTTTACACTGGCATTGTCCTGAAAGCAATAAATGTCTCTTAAAACTTAGTAGGAAGTTCAAAAAGTCGCAATAATTTTGTCCATGCTGTCTGCTCTGGTTTGTAGTATCTAAGTGAAAAACTTTTGATTCGGTCAAGAACTGGTGTGTGTCTGTGCCTCAACTCTTAAATTTCATTTTTATGATATTTTAAGATGTAGATTTTAGCTTGTACATGTTTCAAACAAATTTTGTATACTTAGTGACATCTGTAAACAGTTGTTATATATAGTGTGTGGCACGAAGAACATGAAAACTTGGGCATGTAACCCAACTGTGAATTCAGAGGAGCTGTTGTCTGGGGCAGAGCGTTCTGTGGTCGGTGGGAACTGGGAAGCAGGAGGCTGCTGCCTCCCGTCGCCTCAAGAGATCGTACCAAATCGACGAGTTGCCGTCAGCACCGAACTGCTGTGCTGTCACCTTTCAAATAACACACATTTTACACAGTGATACACAGCCGGATGTCATCTTGTTGTAGGTGGTTTCGCTGTCTTCAGCTGACGTTCTTCTGAGCCTCTCTGTCCCATGTGGATCGCCTGTGGGTTACCTCACAGGCAGCAGATGGGTACCGAGCTGGAGTCTCTTTGTGGAGAAGCCTGCTCGTTCAGCAGTAGGCATGTACATGCTTGCTAGCAAATTGTGTATCATTAGAAACCAAAGCAGTGAGATGCAGGAGCAAATATTAGATGTACAGTTGTATTTGTACATATCAGTAATCTGAAAGGGGCAAGGGGCAGAAGAGCCAGGATGAAAGGCAGTCATTACTTCCCCAGCTGATGGGTGTTTGTGTAGGAACTAGTGGGTGTCAGGATTTAGGTTCGAAGTGTTGACCTGTTCAATGTAATTTCCAGAACACCTCTTACAACATTTTGTGGTGCAGTCTGTTAGGGTCATATGTTTTTGCTACCAATTACGTTACTTAATGCATTGTAAGTATTATTTTTATATATATGATTCAATGCTAAATTAACCTGAAACAGAAATTTTTGGAAGCTTCTAGCATAATTTGACATTTTCCATTTTCTTGTGTCTGTTAAATTTTTTTAGAACCTCCGTCATTTCAAAACTGTTCTTAATTATTTGGCTGTTGCCAGTGGAAATGGAGAGTTAGATATTCATTGCGTCTACAGCAGAAAGTTTCTGCCGTCTGTTATTTTAACCTTTCAGTGACACTATACTCATTAAAAACCTTGTTGGACTGTAATGGGCACCTGAGATAGTGTTCCAAAAAAAAATGTAGCCTGAAAGATGAGGTCAGTCTATTCTGTTCTTTGCAAGAAAATATTTTCCTGCCTTGGCATGATGTTGAGGTGCCACCAATTAACAGTCTTGAGCAACAGATGCACCCACTTGTGTTTATTTGGCAACTAAATATTCCAGTTTTACAAAACTATTTACCATGTGCTGATGGGGTTAATTTCTGTGCATTGAAATAGTCATTGGATAAAGGTAAAGCAGTTTGTTTCTCACTCAGTTAATGTGTTTGAGTTCTTATTGTGCTTTCAGAGATAAAGGACATTTTAATTTTCTCTCATAACTTCATTCCTGTCCCATGATGCAAATCATTCTTGGTCAGCATTAGTAATTCACATGGAATATAGGGTAATCTTTTATGACCTTTAAGTAAATAGAGAAGGTGCTACGGGAATCAGATTGATAGGTTCCCAATCGGGAGCCTAGAAAGGTGTAAGAAGAAATACAGGAGAAGATAGATTTCTTTTTTACTCCGTACTTGTATAGAATACAGTGTAGGTCCTGATAATCTAGCTATGTGACAAAATTCGTTTAACTGCCACAAAGACTTCACGTGTTTGGACAGTAACTGGTTTTGTCTGAACTTTCGTATTGCATTAATCACATTTTAGAGGAAACTCTTTCCACTGGTTTAAAAGTGTTTTTTTTGCAAGCTGATATCCTGAAAATGTTGCTATAGATAAAGTAAAAAACAGGACATGTCCCAGAGGTATTGGACTTGCTGTCTGTGCTTACGTGGCTGAAATGGTGGAGTTTTCATGTTTCCAGAAGCTGCTATATGCTATTATTAGAACTATTTGGCTTGAGAGGTGCGCGTTCGGAATCTGTTTTAGGAACAGCATCGTACTCTGAGCAGTACATGCAGTGCACCCTGCGTAGCGCCTCTGGTCATTGCCCGCTGCACTTCTGTTGACTGTGAAGGTAATAATTCACTGTACTAAATAGTTTGCCTGAAATGCCTGTGCCTGCACAACAAAATGGAGTAGGTCATGGTAGCACGTTAAGCCAGTGTAGATATGACATAATCTAATGGGCACAAGGAAAAAGAACGGAACACCTTGGGGGCTGCTGAGAGATCGTGCTTTGGTTGCTGGTAGGTGCTAAGGCCAAGGTTTCTGCATCTTCTGCAGTTACCTGTGCATTAAAATGGTATGGGTGCGTAGGTGGAGTCTACAGTCACACTTTTATTGGGTAATGTAAATCCACCTGCTGCTGGTGGGGAGCAGTAGCCCTAATATTATCTCTAGCAGAACTGGAAGAATAGTGTTTCTGGAACTGGTGTTATTTACCTCATGTAATTCCTGTTTTTAGACTTGACTCTAAAAGTGCCTGATCGTGTCCATAGCGTCGTGAATGTGAGCTGGTTTGTAGAATCAAATGGAGTGACCAGAAGACTGTAGTGCCTATTTATGAGACAGAATAAACATAAATTACAGGGCTAGTCAAATACTGAAAACACTGATGAAAGTCAAAATAAATGCATTCCTTTGAGATCAGCAGTGCCCTGAGCAATGCTTTTCCTGATTTTCTCGGTGAGTCTCATCCTCTGTAGTGACAGACCAAGTGTTGTAGTTTAACCCCAGCTGGCAGCTCAGCCCCACGCAGCCGCTTGCACGCTCCCTCCCGGCGGGATGGGGTGAGAATCGGAAGAGTAAAAGTGAGAAAACTCGTGGGTTCAGATAAAGATAGTTTAACAAGTGTAGCAATATCTGTGCGCGCAAGCAAGGCAAAATGAGGGATTCGTTCACTGCTTCCCATCGGCAGGCAGGTGTCCAGCTGTCCCCAGGAGAGCCGGGCTCGGTAACTTGGGAAGACGAACGCCATCACTCCAAACATCCCTCTCTTCCTCCTTCCTCCAGCTTTCGCTGCTGCGCATGACATCACACGGTA